TGGCCCCGTACAACACGACGCAGTTCCTGCTGAACGACCGGGCGCAGCGCAGCGACGACCTGGCCAGCGTGGACGCGATTGTGGACACGATCCGGCAGCGGCGCGCTACCGTGACCACAACCGGCGACGAATCGGCAGGCTCTGGTGGGTCCCCTGCTGGGGGCAAGGGTGACTCACTGAACTCGTCAGGCACAGACTACAGTGTGATGGAGCGCGAATTCGACCTCGATTACGAGTCGGTGTATGCCGAACGGCTGGAGTCGATGACCAAGGCCGAACTAGTGGCCGACTACGTCCAGTTGGAGAAAGAGCTGGCCGCGGTCCGTACCGAGTTGCTGGCCAAGAACCGTTACATCGCCGAGTTGGAGGCGCGCCTTTCTCTCGATGACCGGCAGCAAGCGGCCGCTGCTGCCGCCGCCACAGCCCCCACACCCACTCCCACACGGACGGTCGTCAATGGCCACTCCGCCGCTGCCGCCGCCATGGCCGGGCTCCCCTACGACGGACAGGACGATGAGGACCATCGCATGAACGACGATGACGTCTATGAAGACGGTAAACGTCATCTTCCTCCGGCTAACGTTTGACGGTTGGTCGACGGACGACGCTGCCTCGACCTCAGCTGGCTGACTGTCAAATGATTTCTTCAAACTAAGTGATGGTTGCATTGCTGATTTGTACACAGTATGCGCCATTTTGTAAATATGATAGCCGGAATTCGGTCGCTCTTTTACAGATTTGTTAGATGTGATGATCGTACGGCCAATTGTTCATTTAGTTTTTTCTTGCATCATGTTCGCTGTATGATATGTCGTAATTTAACTATTAATTTGTTTTGTTTCGTATATTTTACTTGTTATGCTTAAATTATATATGTGTGATTAATTGTCATATGCTCCCCGTCGTTTTGTCTTTGTTATAGGGCGACGACGGCTCGCAGTGTATTTCACTGGTTTTGGGATTGGTTTGGTTTTGTATTTTGTATTATCGCTCGTCGGACTGACCGATTGACTGTTTCAAAAGTTTTCCGACCCGCCGCACATGTTCGACACTTCTCTAATAGACTTCTACCATTTTTCGTGTCGTTCATGTCCACGTTAACGTTGCAGTCCAACAGGCATTGTTGGTGATGGTGAAACGGCCACTGTTTGTTCTGCGATTTCTACGGCGTGACGTGACGTTTGTACTGTACCTGCTTGCCTATCTGTCTACTCTACGAACAGCACTGACGGCACTGGTTGACGGTCACTCAACAGTCGCTACTAGCAGGTCTTGTGCGTCGTTTAACCTGACGTGCAATCACGGCACACATTCGCTTTACATTACGCCGTGCCACCGACTGGGCAATCAACGACAGTGGGAAGAGGCTCCATGTTAAAAAAAAATAAACCCCATTTTCATCGCTTCTGATGTGTATAGTTATTTTTGTTGTTTTTCGTCAGGTGAGTATGTGTGAAGACGCATGCTGCTAAACTTCGTAATCACATGAGCCAAAAATTACCTGTCTTAGATTGTAACGATTTCATGTCGGATGATACATTTCGCCACGGTGTTTGCCGGCCAAAGTTCAGTCGGTTGCTGCTTGCCTGTTGGCCAACTTGGTTTTTTGTGGTAGCACCCCACAATGTTGAGAGCGTTTAAGCCTGTAACTGAGTTTCCGATAGAGTGGGTTTGTGCACATCCTCAAGGTTATTTTGAGGTTTTCTTGGGATCTGCATAGCAAGTAGCTGTTTGTAAGTCGTCAACAGTGATATTTGCATAATATTCTAAAATATAGTTCTGAAGATAGAAAAAAAATTAGTAGCCGTTTCACTCGAAGGATATCCGGAGGATACGCGACTTCGACTTTTCTCGCAATTCGTTAGTTATTACACATGGTTTAGTGCTGTAAGTGAGTAAACGAAAATTGACTTAGAATGGAAGCAGCTTCATTTTCAGGTGTTTAACTGTCCGCGAAAAACCCGTAGCCGTTTCTCTTCACTAACTGGTTACTGCCTCTGTGGTTCTGAAGGTTCTGATAGCGTCAGCATCACAGTTTGTTAATGACAGGATCAAATTGAATGAATGGTAGAGATTCGACCAAGAGTTTTCCAACGCCAACATTTGGATATGGGTTCTTCCCTTAGAAAAGTTTCACTTAGCCTTGCGTCAAGAAATACCTAATTAGTTGTACAATCGCTCATAGTGTTACGCTCTGAATATATGAAAACGTTGGCTACTATCAAATACAAAAACCAATTCTTTGTACGGCATTCATGCTTATGGAAGATCTTTTAGGCTGGCTAAAATTTAATGATTCTATAATGTTGCAAAGTATACAAAAGCATCGTATTGCTGCCTGACTGAATTGCAGCCTGTTCGTACCAGTAAAGTTGCGTGCGCTTAAAATACCGTACTGTGGATTTAAGAGTGAAAAGCTTAGCGACAGTAAGCCGGAAAGCAACCCATTAGTTAACCCAGTGCTTTCCGAACCCGGATTAAGTTTTTTAAATCACTGTTAAAAAACAGCTTTCCGAGTTTAAAAAGCAAAACGTTAATTAAATATTTGACTCAAACTTTACTTCTGACTTGTTCCAAATACCACTGTGCTCGCATATAAGCTTCGCAACTGAATTACCCAAGGGGTTTTAGTCACTGTTATTTACCTAAGCTTTCACCTTTTCAAGACAAGTTGTTTTAGTACTTTTATAAAATCAATTGATCCAATGTTTCCGTTTCCGGCATAAATCGGTGATGTTGACTGCGCCTCAATCCAAAAGGTTGAAGTATAATGAGAGCCTTATGTCAGTCAAATTATTCGTCTTGAAAAAAATTGAGGTTTTTGGATCTGCCATCTCATCGAAAGCCAGCTGAACTTCACCAAAGAGTAATCGAGATTTATCATGTCTGAAGTGCAGCGCATATCCCATATGAATAAGCATAAGTGCGAAAATGCTCCGTGTGCACCTTGTTTGTCAATGTGAAAGCATGTATCTCGTATTTCTTACATGAATATAAGAATATGTAATATAAGCACTAATTACTAAATCTATTATAATTCAGACCTGAGAAACTTATTAAAGTCAACCGCCTACCCGTACGGGCATGTGGTGATTCAAGAGACTTTAATAGTCGATCGACAATTTCGTAAGATTGACCCTGCTGATTATCGGGATCATTGACCCATTTTTGGCTGATGAAACGAAAGTCGGTAATCGAGTCCCTCAAAGGGATAATACAAAGTTTCTACGGTGCCGAAC